TAGAATAGATATACATGAGTATCAGGACAACCCTAGAATAGATACATGAGTATCAGGACAACCATAGAATAGATACATGAGTATCAGGACAACCCTAGAATAGATACATGAGTATCAGGACAACCATAGAATAGATATACATGAGTATCAGGACAACCTTAGAATAGATACATGAGTATCAGGACAGCCCTAGAATAGATACATGAGTATCAGGACAACCCTAGAATAAATACATGAGTATCAGAACAACCCTAGAATAGATACATGAGTACCAGGACAACCATAAAATAGATACATGAGTATCAGGACAGCTCTAGAATAAATACATGAGCCCTATTCTATCTGTTCTATCTGAATTGTTGTTAATCTATGATTACAGGAAATTAATTTTAAAATACAACTTTCTCAGCCAAATCTTTAATCATAGTTTATCATATCAATCTTTTTATCTCATTAATCATATGTTTATCTTATCAAATTTGAATATGAACCTGAGAAATTTATAAAAATGATATTGAACAATGCTTTATGCTTTTTAAATTGTATTTACAGAGAAGTGAACTGCAGTCATAACCAGAAAGACCCGGAATTAATTGTCAATTAAACAGACGACTTTCACAATTGTTTTTGATCTTTGAATTAGGGTACGGCATTTATACGTCAATCTTATTTACAAATATTTAGATATGATGGATGAAACGATAATCACTAAATAACCTTAGTCCGCCATTTCCAAAATGTGGTCTGCCTTTTTTGAAACTCTTCAATTTTGACAATATTGCATGCCATAAATAATAAAAAATATTAAATGGTTGATAATTTTGCTAAATGTAAGACGGTTAATAATGTTGCTTAGTGTAAAATGGTTGCTAATGTTGATACATGTTATGTTGATAAATGTTGATAAAAAGTATAATGTTGATAATGATAATGTCGCTTATAAAAGATGGTTGATAATTTTGCCAAAAAAATATTTTTACCGAAGGCAGAGCAATTCCAGACATTGAGCCCGCGTCCAGGTTGAATAATCTAAAAATAAATTTAAGATCTGTATTGTTAACAATCTTATTTGAGTCACACTCTCAAATAACGTATGATCACATATATGCCACTTTTCTTGAGATATTTAATAAACTGAAATGATGAATTAAGTTTGAAGATGTAGAGAATATAAAATGCATTTTGAATTGTATTTATTTAACTAAATAAAATAGAGCTATTAGTTTTGATGATATGATACGATTTTGTAGAGTGTAGAGTGTAGAGTGTAGAGTGTAGAGTCTAGAGTCTAGAGTCTAGAGTGCAGAGTGTAGAGTGTAGAGTGCAGAGTGTAGAGTGTGGTGTAAAGTGTAATGTGTAGAGTGTAGAGTGTAGAGCGTAGAGTGTAGAGTGTAAAGTGTAGAGCGTAGAGTATGAGTGTAGATTGTAGAGTGTAGAGTGCAGAGGTAGAGTGTAGAGTGTAGAGTGTAGAGTGTAGAGTGTAGAGTGTAGAGTGTAGAGTGTAGAGTGTAGAGTGTAGAGTGTAGAGTGTAGAGTGTACCTAGCTCCTTGGGGTTCAAGATGGGGTTTAAGAACATCAAGATCCTCCTTTGTTCCCATTCCCATTATCTTCATTTTATCCTTCCCAATCTCAGATACGATCTCCTGAAAAATATTTTAACATTAATTTCAAATAGTTTTCTTTAATTTCAAAGATTTACATTCGAACCCTTAAACATTTATCTTACTTTTTTAAATTATAAGTACACAATAAACTAGATTTAATGAATAGCTAAAAGTAGTTGAACGTGTAGACGAAGCTCAACCACTTTTATTGTGTGCCGGTTCCTGTCAAAAAAAAGGTGGTCCACATTATCTCCCCATTTATTAAATCTGGTCCCGGAGGTTTTTAACTCGATCTGATTTAACCCAATCTATCAGAGGCGCTTACTTCAGAGGCCAAAATTTAAGAATCTAAACCGAGTCGCTGATCCGCCAAAAACTGGTTCCAATTGAGTGTTGGCTCAAATCTCGAAACACTTAATACCATTTCAAGTGGAACCAACCATGTTTGAACCGCGTCTCATATTTGAGCCATGGCTCAAATTCTTAAAATTCGGCCTCAGGATAAAAAGAAAAATAAAATACTTACAGCAACAATTTCTTTAACTTCCTTCCCATGCGCCAGAACTCCTGTGGCAGATTTGTATCCTTCTCTAATATAGAAACATATATAATTTATTATACAGGGTGTCCCATTAAACATATATAATTTATTATACAAGGTGTCCCATTAAACATATATAATTTATTATACAGGGTGTCCCTCTTATGAAAGTAAAATAGCCAAGATTGGAAGTGAAAAATACAGAGTTTCCCAAAAATTGGTAAATTTTCAAGATTTTGGAACATTTGGAAGATATCGTTGTAGAGATAAAATCAAAGATTCCAATCTATTGAGAGTCACTTGAAAGTCGAAGTTTCAGTAGCAACAGGTAATTTTGTAATTTCCATCCCTTAGTTTGAAGTAAATCCTCTGTTTTGCAAAGAAGTTTACCTGCAAAGAACCCTGTTTCCGCAGACAGCAAACCCATAGTACAAACATTCATCGGTCCCACTCTTAACCTTGTTATACATCTCACCAAACCGGGACCTGAACCAGATATTTATACTTTTAGAAGAAATATTTATATTTTTAGAATAAATTTTTATAGTTTTAGACCAAATTTTCACAGTTTTAGACACCCAGTAAAATCGTTCAATTGCTGGTAAACGGCGGGAGTAACTTTGCAGCGCTGGGTTCCCAAGCTATAGTATAGTATAAAACCCAATGAAAAATCGCAAAGACATCATGTTATAAATTTTGTCGATTACTCCAAAGTTCTGTGTTTAACTGTATGAATAATAAAAGGATCGGTATTAGTAAAAACTAAAGTTAAGTAACTCTAAGTTCGTGGTTTTGCTGTGGTGAAATCAAGGTAAAATTGATTAGAAATCAGAATATCTTAAAACATATTAAGTTTCTCGGTCCAAAGTTTTATTGTCAGACAAACACAATTTGGTCCAGTAGTATTAAAGGGACAGACCGGCTATGTAAGGTAGTTAAATGAGTATGCAGTGTTGTGGACAAAATTTTTAGGATTCATTTTAGACATGTAAAAATTTTTAAAGATCTGTAAATCCTGACTTTGATCGCAAATTCGACGTTCCAAATCGTACTTTTGGGTGAATACGTTTTCAGAATTGTTTTTTTAATTATTAAATAACGACGACAAGAAATGTAAACGAAATTCTACAGTAAACTAATTAGTTGTTGAAAAAAAATAAAAATGAACTCTTATAATCGAAAATGAGTAATCTTTTCAATTATTAGTTTCTATAATCTCTCTTTAATCTCAAAGTTTTTCTGCCGATTTTCTGGAATTTTTATTATAATGACGACATTTGAAGAATTTGAAAAAATCTGCGAACAAATTCATAGAAAATAAGAAACTAAATATGATGATGAAAAAGGAAATAATTAATTCTAACTTCGATTTATTGACAAATTTCTTTTGAGAAATATGTTCCTAAACATATAATTAGTTTACTATAAAATTTTTACTATATTTTTCGTCGTCGTTATTTAATAAATAAAAAAACCGATTCTGAAAACATACCTACCTAAATTCATGATTTTGAACGTCGACTTTGCGCTCAAATTTTAAATCGTGGAAACGTTGTATATGTCTCAAATGAATCCTAAAGAATTTGTTCACAACACTGCATACTCAGTTTAACTACCTTACATAGCCGGTCTGTCCCTTTAATGATTAAATACTAATATCTGAATAATATCTTTTTATCTTTTTAACGTTATGATAATAAATATTGTTTAATGTAAACAGAGAAGCTAAGAATTTTGAAAGATTATGTCAATATTTCACAAAAGTGTCTGATAAAAATGGCGAACTCAGCTCGTGATAAGTCTCCAATTTTACTATTAAATTTTTTTAAAGAATTTAAATCGATAAAGTTACATCTTTGTTCTCTTATTGCAATATTCTGCTTTTAAAAATACCTCATGAATACTCTTTCAATTAAAAGACTTAATTTTTACCCGATCATAGTGAAATTAATATAACAATGTTTCTAAAATTATTAAATATGGTCAACCCTGCTTTAAATAAATGCTCATTCCTTTATAAAAAGCTGGTTTTTTGGTATGCAACAATTTTGATTTAATCCCGCCGGGATATTTTCATTGAAAGATACTTTGAAAATCTTCAAAGGCAAAAAAAATCCGCAACATTCGCAAGTCCTCGAGTTTATCATTGAATCCCCTCTTTAAAAAGGAATTTCATTTACTCTCAGACAAATTAGAATCAAAGGAAATTTGTCTGAGAGTAAATGATACATTGTCTCTTGGGGATGTTTTTTTTTTAAAAACACTCCTTAGTATAAATTTGGGAAAACAAAAGAGATTTTAATGTTTCCAACAAAAAATTAATGTAAATGTTTAATATAAATGTTTAATGTAAATGTTTAATGTAAATGTTTAATGTAAATGTTTAATGTGAATGTTTAAATAAATTTTTAATAAAAATGTTTAATGTAAATGTTTAATGTAAATGTTTAATGTAAATGTTTATGTAAATGTTTAATGTAAATATTTAATGTAAATGTTTAATGTAAATGTTTAATGTAAATATTTAATGTAAATTTTTAATGTAAATATTTAATGTAAATGTTTAATGTAAATGTTTAACGTAAATGTTTAATGTAAATGTTTAATGTGAATGTTTATGTAAATGTTTAATGTAAATATTTAATTTAAATGTTTAATGTGAATGTTTTATGTACATGTTTAATGTAAATTTTAATATAAATGTTTAATATAAATGTTTAATGTAAATGTTTAATGTAAATATTTAATGTAAATGTTTAA